ATTTCAATCAGGTCAGTTTCACACATTTTTGGTCATCTCTAATGAACCACACTATGTCCCTTCAATCAGGTCAGTGTCACACATTGTTGGCCATCTCATGTGCACCACACTATGTCCCTTCAATCAGGTCAGTTTCAAACATTTTTTGGCCATCTCTAATGAACCACACTATATCCCTTTAAGTCAGGTCAGTGTCACACATTGTTGGCCATCTCTAATGAACCACACTATATCATTTCAATCAGGTCAGTTTCACACATTTTTGGTCATCTCTAATGAACCACACTATGTCCCTTCAATCAGGTCAGTGTCACACATTGTTGGCCATCTCATGTGCACCACACTATGTCCATCTCACACATTGTTGGCCATCTCTAATGAACCACACTATGTCCCTTCAGTCAGGTCAGTTTCACACATTTTGGTTATCATGTGAACCACACTATGTCCCTTCAGTCAGGTCAGTGTCACACATTTTTGGCCATCTCTAATGAACCACACTATGTCCCTTCAGTCAGTTCAGTGTCGCACATTTTTGGTCATCTCTAATGAACCACACTATGTCCCTTCAATCAGGTCAGTGTCACACATTTTTGGCCATCTCTAATGAACCACACTATATCTCTTCAGTCAGGTCAGTGTCACACATTGTTGGTCATCTCTAATGAACCACACTATGTCCCTCAGTCAGGTCAGTGTCACACATTTTTGGTCATCTCTAATGAACCACACTATATCTCTTCAATCAGGTCAGTGTCACACATTGTTGGCCATCTCTAATGAACCACACTATGTCCCTTCAATCAGGTCAGTGTCACACATTTTTGGTCATCTCTAATGAACCACACTATGTCCCTTCAATCAGGTCAGTGTCACACATTGTTGGCCATCTCTAATGAACCACACTATATCCCTTCAATCAGGTCAGTGTCACACATTGTTGGCCATCTCTAATGAACCACACTATATCTCGTCAATCAGGTCAGTGTCAGACATTGTTGGCCATCTCTAATGAACCACACTATGTCCCTTCAGTCAGGTCAGTTTCACACATTGTTGGTTATATCATGTGAACCACACTATGTCCCTTCAATCAGGTCAGTGTCACACATTGTTGGCCATCTCTAATGAACCACACTATGTCCCTTCAATCAGGTCAGTGTCACACATTGTTGGCCATCTCTAATGAACCACACTATATCCCTTCAGTCAGGTCAGTGTCACACATTGTTGGTCATCTCTAATGAACCACACTATATCTCTTCAATCAGGTCAGTGTCACACATTTTTGGCCATCTCTAATGAACCACACTATGTCCCTTCAATCAGGTCAGTGTCACACATTTTTGGTCATCTCTAATGAACCACACTATGTCCCTTCAGTCAGGTCAGTGTCACACATTGTTGGCCATCTCATGTGAACCACACTATATCCCTTCAATCAGGTCAGTGTCACACATTGTTGGCCATCTCTAATGAACCACACTATATCCCTTCAATCAGGTCAGTGTCACACATTGTTGGCCATCTCTAATGAACCACACTATGTCCCTTCAGTCAGGTCAGTTTCACACATTGTTGGTTATATCATGTGAACCACACTATGTCCCTTCAATCAGGTCAGTGTCACACATTGTTGGCCATCTCTAATGAACCACACTATGTCCCTTTAATCAGGTCAGTTTCACACATTTTTGGCCATCTCTAATGAACCACAATATGTCCCTTCAGTCAGTAGGTCAGCGTCACACATTTTTGGTCATCTCATGTGGACCACGCTATGTCCCTTCACTCAGTAGGTCAGCGTCACATATTTTTGGTCATCTCATGTGGACCACACTATGTCCCTTCAATCAGTAGATTGTCACATATTTTTGGTCATCTCATGTGGACCAAGCTATTTCCCTTCACTCAGTAGATTGTCACATATTTTTGGTCATCTCATGTGGACCACACTATGTCCCTTCAGTCAGTAGGTTGGTGTCCCATATTTTTGGTCATCTCATGTGGACCACACTATGTCCCCTTCAGTCAGTAGGTTGGTGTTCCATATTTTTGGTCATCTCATGTGGACCACACTATGTCCCTTCACTCAGTAGGTTGGTGTTCCATATTTTTGGTCATCTCATGTGGACCACACTATGTCCCTTCACTCAGTAGATTGTCACATATTGTTGGTCATCTCATGTGGACCAAGCTATGTCCCTTCACTTAGTAGATTGTCACATATTTTTGGTCATCTCATGTGGACCACAATATGTCCCTTCAGTCAGTAGGTCAGCGTCACATATTTCTGGCCCTCTCATGTGGACCACACTACATCTCTTCAATCAGGTCAGTTTCACACATTGTTGGCCATCTCATGTGGACCACACTATATCCCTTCAATCAGGTCAGTTTCACATATTTTTGGCCATCTCATGTGGACCACACTACATCTCTTCAATCAGGTCAGTTTCACACATTTTTGGCCATCTCATGTGGAGCAAGCTATTTCCCTTCACTCAGTAGGTTGGTGTCACACATGTTTGGCCCTCTCATATGGACCACACTATATCCCTTCAATCAGGTCAGTGTCACACATTTTTGGTCATCTCTAATGAACCACACTATATCTCTTCAATCAGGTCAGTGTCACACATTTTTGGCCATCTCTAATGAACCACACTATGTCCCTTCAATCAGGTCAGTGTCACACATTTTGGTCATCTCTAATGAACCACACTATGTCCCTTCAGTCAGGTCAGTGTCACACATTGTTGGCCATCTCTATGTGCACCACACTATATCTCTTCAATCAGGTCAGTGTCACACATTGTTGGCCATCTCTAATGAACCACACTATATCCCTTCAATCAGGTCAGTGTCACACATTGTTGGCCATCTCTAATGAACCACACTATGTCCCTTCAGTCAGGTCAGTGTCACACATTGTTGGTTATATCATGTGAACCACACTATGTCCCTTCAATCAGGTCAGTGTCACACATTGTTGGCCATCTCTAATGAACCACACTATGTCCCTTCAATCAGGCCAGTGTCACACATTGTTGGCCATCTCTAATGAACCACACTATATCCCTTCAGTCAGGTCAGTGTCACACATTGTTGGTCATCTCTAATGAACCACACTATATCTCTTCAATCAGGTCAGTGTCACACATTTTTGGTCATCTCTAATGAACCACACTATGTCCCTTCAATCAGGTCAGTGTCACACATTTTTGGTCATCTCTAATGAACCACACTATGTCCCTTCAGTCAGGTCAGTGTCACACATTGTTGGCCATCTCTAATGAACCACACTATATCCTTCAATCAGGTCAGTGTCACACATTTTTGGTCATCTCTAATGAACCACACTATATCTCTTCAATCAGGTCAGTGTCACACATTGTTGGCCATCTCTAATGAACCACACTATGTCCCTTCAATCAGGTCAGTTTCACACATTGTTGGCCATCTCTAATGAACCACACTATGTCCCTTCAATCAGGCCAGTTTCACACATTGTTGGCCATCTCTAATGAACCACACTATAGTCCTTTAATCAGGTCAGTTTCACACATTTTTGGCCATCTCTAATGAACCACAATATGTCCCTTCAGTCAGTAGGTCAGCGTCACACATTTTTGGTCATCTCATGTGGACCACGCTATGTCCCTTCAGTCAGTAGGTCAGCGTCACATATTTTTGGTCATCTCATGTGGACCACACTATGTCCCTTCAATCAGTAGATTGTCACATATTTTTGGTCATCTCATGTGGACCAAGCTATTTCCCTTCACTCAGTAGATTGTCACATATTTTTGGTCATCTCATGTGGACCACACTATGTCCCTTCAGTCAGTAGGTTGGTGTCCCATATTTTTGGTCATCTCATGTGGACCACACTATGTCCCCTTCAGTCAGTAGGTTGGTGTCCCATATTTTTGGTCATCTCATGTGGACCACACTATGTCCCTTCACTCAGTAGGTTGGTGTTCCATATTTTTGGTCATCTCATGTGGACCACACTATGTCCCTTCACTCAGTAGATTGTCACATATTTTGGTCATCTCATGTGGACCAAGCTATGTCCCTTCACTTAGTAGATTGTCACATATTTTTGGTCATCTCATGTGGACCACAATATGTCCCTTCAGTCAGTAGGTCAGCGTCACATATTTCTGGCCCTCTCATGTGGACCACACTACATCTCTTCAATCAGGTCAGTTTCACACATTGTTGGCCATCTCATGTGGAGCAAGCTATTTCCCTTCACTCAGTAGGTTGGTGTCACACATGTTTGGCCCTCTCATATGGACCACACTATATCCCTTCAATCAGGTCAGTTTCACACATTTTTGGCCATCTCATGTGGACCACACTACATCTCTTCAATCAGGTCAGTTTCACACATTTTTGGCCATCTCATGTGGACCACACTACATCTCTTCAATCAGGTCAGTTTCACACATTTTTGGCCATCTCATGTGGACCACACTACATCTCTTCAATCAGGTCAGTTTCACACATTTTTGGCCATCTCATGTGGACCACACTACATCTCTTCAATCAGGTCAGTTTCACACTTTTTTGGCCATCTCATGTGGACCAAGCTATTTACCTTCACTCAGTAGGTTGGTGTCACACATTTTTGCCATCTCATGTGGACCACACTATATCCCTTCAATCAGGTCAGTTTCACACATTTTTGGCCATCTCATGTGGACCACGCTATTTCCCTTCACTCAGTAGTTTGGTGTCACATATTCTTTGTCATCTCATGTGGACCACACTATGTCCCTTCACTCAGTAGGTTGGTCATGTGGACCACAATATGTCCCTTCAGTCAGTAGGTCAGCGTCACATATTTTTGGTCATCTCATGTGGACCATGCTATGTTCCTTCAGTCAGTAGGTCGGCGTCACATATTATTGGTCATCTCATGTGGACCACGCTATGTCCCTTCACTCAGTAGATTGTCACATATTGTTGGCCCTCTCATGTGGACCACGCTATGTCCCTTCACTGTCACATATTTTTGGCCATCTCATGTGGACCTTGCTATGTTGCCTTAAGTGATAATTGTCTATAAACTTCTTTCCACAGGTTGGACACTCAAACTTCTTCTTCAACTCACTGCCTTCATGCCTTGCTTTGTGCTTTTTCAGAGCTTCTGCTTTCATGAATCTTTCTCCAGAAATCTTACACCTGAACGGCATCTCCCCTGTGTGCAGACGCATGTGGCGCTTGAGGTTGCAGGCCATGTGGAATCTCATACCACAGACTCTACAAACATACTTCCTCTCACCGTGAATCTTCATGTGTCTATTAAAATCATTTAACATACATTTTCCACAGACCATACACTTCTTCATACCAGTGTTATGCTCAGCCTTACAATCAGTTGACCCTTGCTTGGACTTTGATAAATCCAATTTTTGGTCAGATCTCTGCTTGAACATCACTGGATTCTTCCTTGGGTGTAATCTTTGTTCGGATGTTGGTAACTCCTTTTCTGGGTTTAACCTTCGCTGTGATGTGGGTAGATCCTTATTTGAGTCAGACCTTTGCTTGGATGTCAATAAATCCTTCCTTTGGTCTAATCTTTTCTTGGATTTCAGTTGATAATTTTTTGAGTCAGACCTTTGCTTAGATGTTCGTGGATACTTCTCGGAGTCTGACTTTTGTTTGGATTTCTTTGGATCCTTTGCTTTTTCCGAATCTAATGATGGGGTCTCTTTGGGAATGGTTGGATGGGTTTTCAGTGTGTGGAGAGTAAACAGTTCCCAGCTGGCAAAGCTAATCAGACACTGGTCACAGTCAAAAGATTGTCCCACGTTGTCGGTATTCTGTTCTCTGGTTGGTTTCTTTCCAATGGCGACGTGGTCTGGGTGTTTCTTGATTCTATCTTTCTTTGGGTTCCTGACAGATCCTGTAATTGACCCTTTCTTCACTGCAGAGCTTGTGATATCAGCATTAGTCCTTTCATTGGAGTTCAGGTTCTTTCCAAGAGATGAGTATCTCCCCTTTCCAACGCCAACATGTTCTGGGTGTTTCTTGATTCTGTGCTTTCTGAGTCCACTCACAGACAGGAATGTCATTCCACATATTCCACAAGAGTAAGGCTTTATGCATTTGCTGTCTGGGATCTTTTTGGGAATGGTGGCATGGGTTTTCATGTGGCCATTTAGAAGTTCCAGGCTGATGAAGCTCATTAGACATTCATCACAGTCGAAGGACTCTAACATGTTCTTGGTTCTCTGTTCTTCGGAGTCTTTGTCCAGTGACTTCTTGTTTGGGTTCTTGTGGGTCATTTCATGTCCAGTCTTTGTGCTCAACTGGGCGAATCCTTTGCCACAATATTTACAGACATAGGGCTTCGTGCCCGTGTGGATATTCATGTGGACAGCTAATTCAGTGTTACTATAACACTTTAAGCCACATATTTTACAGGTAACTGATTCCAAAGTGTGCTTTTTGCGCATGTGGTAATCAAAAGAGCTTTTAAAATTAAAGCGTTTCTCACATACAGGGCACTCTAATGGCTTTTCCTCTAAATGCACCACCATGTGTTTTCGGAGATTAGAAGCTGAAGTGTATTGTTGGCCACACTTCTCACACTTGTTCTTGCTGGGATCCTCATGGAGCTTCAAGTGTGTAAAATAATTTTCACGTCGGTTGAACACTTTTCCACACTTGGAACACTCCCAACGTCCTTTTAGAGAATGCCTCTTGGAGTCCTCATGAACCTTCAAGTGTCTGAGATAATTATCATGTCGGGTGATCACTTTTCCACACTTGGAACACTCCCAACGTCCTTTTAGAGAATGCACCCTCCTATGCTTTTCCAATGTAGCAAAACAGTCAAATCGCTTGTCACACTGATCACACCAATATGGGGTAGGTTCGCCTGCATGCTTCCTCATATGGCCTTGGAACACCACTAAGTCTTTGATCCTTATATCGCATGTTTCGCAAGTGTAAATGTGTGACTTTCTCATATGTTGCTTCAGACCCGAGGAAGAAAATCTCTTATAACAGACAGGGCACTCTTTTACATTTCTTCCCTTCTTCATCCTCTTCTTCTTTTCTTTATCATGGTTGGGAGAGGCTGGTTGTTGTGAGTTGCCTTTTCCGGTGCCCCCCTCTCCTTCTTTTGTTTGGCATCAGCGGGTGAGGGTTGTTTTTGCAACATGCTTTTTGTTGCCGCTTCACCTTGAGGACGAACTCTTGGATCAGTTCCTGAAGGATATACATGTATACTAAAAGGATCTGTTTCCAATGGTTCCAAGTCAGGCTCAACTGATTCACGAGCAGTAACAGGACTCATGGTCACCTTGACATTGTCAGTTTCTATGTGTTTATCATTACAGTTATTAACTTCTGTTGGGAATGTGTGATTTCCGTATATAGATTCTGTTTCTATACTAACATCACCTTTCCAAGCAACACCATGACAATTCTTGTCAACCAATTCATTACCACTGCCATCATCACTGTCAACACCATCATCACTGTCAATGCCACCATCCTCTCCACAATCACCGTCAATGCCATCAACGCCATCATCATCCCCACCACCATCATCACCGTCAACGCCACCACCATCATCACCGTCAATGCCATCATCCCCACCACCATCATCACCGTCAATGCCATCATCACTGTCAATGCCATCATCCCCACCACTATCATCACCGCCACCACCATCATCACCGTCAATGCCATCATCCTCACCACCAGCATCACCGTCAACGCCATCATCCCCACCGTCATCCCATCCAATAACGGAGTCGCCATATGGGCTACTGCACCATGTTCGTATCAGGTTCCTCTTCAAAACATCCAGTTTTTCCTTCTCGTTTCGTCTGTTGCTGTCTCTCCTTGTCACATTTACATCAGAAGGAGACTGTTTCACCTCTGGCATCACATGCTTCATTTGCTTGGAAGTACTGGGGTTACCATCACTGTTCTTCACTTCATCATGTGCAGATTTCGTGTGCATCCTCAGGTTATCTTCATCACATACTTCATCACCTGAGCTGTCGTCGATGTCAGTCATAGGGGAGACATCGTTGTCAGATTGTATAAACAAATCATCATCATACCGCAGTCCCTCGAGTGCTGGGAGATGGTTCTGGTCTGCTCCAGGACCACCATTATTGGCGGCAATGGTGAACTGATTGTTGAACATGTCTGTTTTGTGAACAGTACTCAGATGATCGCTCAGGTCATGGCTCAAGGGAGCTAACTCTGATTTTCAAAGTATGAGCCGTACTGAAATGTCTTCACTTTCATTGGATGAGTTGTTGATCACGCTGAAACATACATCAGTAAGATCAATTTGTCATCACAAAAGAGACGAAATATATATATAAAACAGATAAATTCTGAACACATCAGTTCCATCGATTATAAACTCATAAACAGAGCAAAACCTTTTGTAAAATGAATCACGTTTTAATTCATTGCTACATGAAATTGCTATCATGATGCGTTTCTTTTTTGGGAGAGTATATAATCATAATATAGTTTCCATTTGTTTGTTCAGCAATATTTCAGCTATATGGCGGCGGTCTGTAAATAATCATGTCTGGACCAGACAATCCAGTGATCAACAGCATGAGCTTCATATCTACACAATAGGGATATGATGACATGTGTCCACCAAGTCAGCGAGCCTGACCACCCAATCCTTTCACGACAGGTATGGGTTATTCAAGACAAGCATGGGTTCCCACCCGGATCTTCACGGATGACATAAATGTAGAAAATCAGCAAACATATTCATATACAATCAGGGTTTTATGGGACGGGTTATTCCTGCGCATTGGATGTAGAAATTTGATCAAGTACACCCAAAGTAAAATCCTGTGCGTCCTTGTGGACGCAATATGATTTTTTTGTGGGAAAGAACTTTCTGAGTTTGTAATTATATCCCATATTAAAATATATACATTCTGTTTACAATCAGTATTCTAATCACTTTGAAAGTACCACATATTATAACATTATTATGATAAGGGTCTTGGGTCCAAGTGACGGTTCCGGTGAAACCCCTTATCTAACTGACGTGCTGGTCTGCTTGGGGAATTAACTCAGCAAAGAGTCCGAAGTCACAAGAAGCTAATCACAATTTTATTTACAAGAACGGAATAACATGGGGTGGCCACAGAGAGTCGGTACAACCCTCTGGGCTGAGGGCTAGAGTTGACCTGTGTTGGGAGCCTAAACGCTACTGCTGGACAAATGCAGTTAGAGACTTTTTATCTACAATTAAAACAATAAAGAGATTACGATTGTATCACTGATACAAAAAATGGGTGTAACCTACATTAGCCTATCAAATACAGAATATACAAAATGGGGTGTGTCCTACTAATGACATGACAGGGCAATTACTCTTAATCCTGTTAATCCTATGTTAACTGGCACTTATCTTGTTGGCACTTTTACTGGATGCTTGGATGCTTACCCTGGGCTAGATCTTAACGAGCCTAATCTGATGTGTCAATTATAGGTGCTTGGATTACAATAGATGCGTTTACTCTGGGCCAATAGAGTATGTCCTTTTTGTACTAGTTGTTAAGAAGATGAGTATCATGTTGTAATGGTTTGTCCAAGGTATGTAAAATATAGACAGTTGTACTTAGACAAGAGTTTGTATCGAAATGCGAGTATGTACAAGTTTGTACAATTTCTGAAAAGGAAGTCCGAAAATAATATTCTTAAGTTAGCTAAGTTTGTTTATCATATCCTTCAAGAAAGAGGCAGTTATGAAATGTATGCTAAGAAAAACTAAAAACTGTGAGAAACACCTATAACACTACGCCTATAATATTATTATGCCATTGTGTTGACTTGCAATCTGTACCAACATCCGATCACAAATACATTTGTAGGGCTATAGTTCGTAAACGTAAGTGCAAAATAGTATTTGCAAAATGACCAAGCTGCTAACCATATATCCTTATTTGTTGTTAACATTCTGTCACCAGACAATACTGTTCATTTAGTTTTCAGTACCCAGTACCATTGTAGATGTGCCTATTGCATGTGCATTATTATCATTATTGCAATATGAATTGTAACTTGTATACTGGCCTCTGGCCTATTCAGAAATAAATTCAATTCAAAATTCAAATTCATGTCTTTATAACCCTTAATTGGTGTTTGCTTAAAGTTTTGTAATATAGATGATGACATGTTTACTTTATGAAAGTAGTTCATTTAATCGTCTGGTCATAACTCTGAATTACTGAAAGGGTTGCTAACAGCTTGAGTCCTCAATAGCTTAGGCTAGGATTTTATCTTGAATATCTGTGAAATTGTGTAGCCGTAATTTATACCTTCTTCAATAGTATGTCTGTGAGATGAGTCTTTCTCTAAGCTATTACTAATATTCCATATTTATATTTTCCTAATATCTGAATCCTAATATATTGCTTGTAGTGGTAATAATGAATAATGAATTTTGTATGAATTATTATTCCATGATAACATAATCATTGGGAAATCAAATGGAAAGCATCCACAATCAATGATTTCATGCAAATTGATAGACTCCCAGTTTTGGAAATGGACACCCACAAAAATATGCCCAGAGTCCCCAGGACTCCCAGGTTTGAAGAAGCCAATGTCCACAGAAAAGTTATTGAACACCTAACGAGGCTACTGAGGGAGTCTGTCCCGCTGAAACTGTCCAACACTAGAAAATCAATATTGCAGTTCTGGTAGTGACCACACTGTCCTGGAATCAATAAGTCCCGGGGCCCACAGAGTTAATGTTCACTGTCAGGCTTGGGAGAGGTCCTCACACGGTTGAAGGGCAAAATGCACCCTTTTCAGTAAATCGGACATAACCTACCATGAATGGCAACAGTCTCTTCCAGGTCCACATAGCACATACCCATAGCAGGAGATGGAAACAGTTCACGTACCTCTCCTCATTAGTTGCAAGTCCAACAGAATCATAACTTTTCACACACCTGGAAAAATTTTAGCATGGTACAGAGAACTTGAAGCATCTCCACCATCTGTTACCAGAGGGTGTCTGGGTGTTATACCCTTCCTCCCTAGGCAATCTGTCTAGCCACTCTGGTTCTGGGGATGATGTAGCTAAGATGGATAGCCAAAGATAAGTCCGGTATGGTGTTCAAGTCCATTTATTTTGGAATGAATTCTTTCACAAAGGTCCTCAGATATTGCCTAGCTTTCCTGGTCTACATGCAACACAGATTCACAAATCTCATGGAAGAACTTGTTGGTTTCTTGTACAACTCCTAAAGTTACAAGTTCATCTGAGCCATTCTCTCAATATACAGAGAGAACCTCTCAAGTCAACGGTGGGGCCCAGAATTGCTTCTGTTCCCTCGACTTCTGACATAACTGTTCTCTGACA